GGGGGGCACAGACCCCAAAACCCACCCAGGGAGCAGCTTGGGGGGCACAGATCCCAAAATTCCCAAGGCCCATTTTGGGGTGCCCAGGCCTGTTTCTGGGGTGCCCAGACCCATTTTCGGGGTTCCCAGACCCATTTTTGGGGTGCCCAGACCCATTTTTAGGATTCCCAGACCCATTTTCAGGGTTCCCAGACCCATTTCTGGGATGCCCAGTCCCGGTTTTGGGGCTCCCAGACCCATTTTTGGGATTCCCAGGCCCATTTTCGGAGTTCCCAGGCCCATTTTTGGGGTTCCCAGACCCGTTTTTGGGGTTCCCAGACCCATTTCCGGGGTTCCCAGACCCGTTTTTGGGGTTCCCAGACCCATTTTTGGGGTTCCCAGACCCGTTTTTGGGGTTCCCAGACCCGTTTTCGGGGTTCCCAGACCCATTTTCGGGGTTCCCAGACCCGTTTTTGGGGTTCCCAGGCCCGTTTTCGGGGTTCCCAGACCCGTTTTCGGGGTTCCCAGACCCGTTTCTGGGGTTCCCAGGCCCATTTTCGGGGTTCCCAGACCCGTTTTTGGGGTTCCCAGACCCATTTTTGGGGTTCCCAGCTGTGTTACCCTGGTCAAACTGCCGCTGCAGACTCTCCATCTCCGACTTGTTCCCGCTGACCCGGTAAATCCCCTCTGTGCTCAGCCCTGCGGGAACAGCACAAACCTCATTCCCAGCTCCCCCAAAATCCCGGATTTAGCCCTGCCCTGCCCATCCCAAAGCTCAGGGTTAACTTTTTTTGGGGGGGATTTTGGGGGGCAGAAAACCCAGAGGAAGGAGAAGGAGCTGCTCCTTTCCCTCCTTTCCTTGTGCTGCCTCTCCAAGGGGAAATTCCAGAGGGGGGGGAAAAAAAACCCCGGAGCTCGTTCCGGGGTTAATTTGGGTTGTGCTGGGCACTAAAAATCCCTGGGAGGGGAAGGGGGACCCCAAAAAAGGTCCCACCCAGAAGGGTCTGGGATGGGACCCAAAAGCCCGAGGTTGGTGTTTCTCCAGCAGGTTCCTTCTCCCAGGGGACAACCAAGGTTCCTTCTCCCAGGGAAAAATGAAGGATCCAGGGAATGATGAAGGATCCAGGGAAGAGTTTGATGCTTCCCAAAAAACCTGAGGAGCCCAAAAAAGGTCCCATAACAGGATCAGCCCTGAAGGGTCTGGGATGGGACCCAAAAGCTCAGGGTTGGTGTTTCTCCAGCAGGTTCCCTCTCCCAGGGGACACCAAATCCTCCTCCTCCCAGAGGACACCGGGCTGATCCCGGCTCTTCCCAAGGATCCAGGGAAGAGTTTGATGCTTCCCAAAAAACCTGTGGAGCCCCAAAAAAAGGTCCCATAACAGGATCAGCCCTGAAGGGTCTGCGAGGGGACCCAAAAGCTCAGGGTTGGTGTTTCTCCAGCAGGTTCCCTCTCCTGGGGAATAACAAATCCTCCTCCTCCCCAGGGACACCAAGGGATGCTGGGATGATCCCGGCTCTTCCCAAAAATCCTGAGGAGCCCAAAAAAGGTCCCATAACAGGATCAGCCCTGAAGGGTCTGGGATGGGACCCAAAAGCTCAGGGTTGGTGTTTCTCCAGCAGGTTCCCTCTCCCAGGGGACAACCAAGGTTCCTTCTCCCAGGGAAAAATGAAGG